TAGCTAGAGAAGCCATGGCCAAAAAGAAAGAATAACACATGTAAAAAATCATGCCAGAGAACAGAGTAGGTAGTTACTTGTTGAGTCTATTACCAGACAAAACGTTTAAATCAATGGTGTGTTCTCATAAATCAACAGCCAAATTTAGCCTTAATTATAACCACCCCTGAGCAACATAGAATAGAGAGAAGACACTTAAGAAAAAAAATGGTGATGCTCCTGAAATGAGGAGGCAAGGAAGCAGCAGATGAGACGAGCACGGTGTAGGGTCATCACACAGAGAAGGCATTTATTTTGTAGGTTAGAATTGAGGTGCCGCAGCATTCAGTGCTGAGCAGAGACTTCAGCAGAGACTGCCAATTACACCAACTCGGACCAAGTCTGGTGGTGATTTGGAGATGTTAAAGAACCGTTCAAACCTAGTTAAAACCTGGACATTTATGTAGGTTGTGCGCTAAAAAAAAATTGAGCCCAGAAGAGCCAGAACTCTATGCTACACGATCGGAGACAAAAGGGTTTGCATTGCAAACCATAAAAGTTCATTCTTTTTCAATTACACTTGACAGATCTAAGTTATTATAAGAAGAATGAGTTTGGAAAAGGGGAGAGCAGTAACAGCGAACCAGAGAACAGAATGTAACTTGAGAAACAGCGCAAGAATCTTACTATTAGATCTTTCTCTTACTTCACTGAGAGTGGAAGAACATCTCTTTTCACTCCTCCATCTTTGTTCATCCCCTTACTCTTCCAGTTGAGCTGGTCTGATTCAGATTTAGGGCCCCCATTCATTCCAGTTAAATGGCTTTTCTGTAAAGCTGTGTACCAAACCCATGCTACGTTCCCATTGACAGGACTTCACTGCTTTCCAGAAAAGTAATGGATTTCTCACATACCACAGTTTCTAAAGGCCCCTTCTTCAGCAATGTCCTCCGCAGCACAGAAACATTTAGTAGTTCTGTTAAAGCAGTGGCTCTCACCCAAAGAAAGATATTTTGCCTGCCGTGAACTCTGTTTGGCACTCATCAGTTTGATGTGCAGCAGTGCGAGCAAGGCTCCCAAATACAAGTTTCTGTTCCGCGGCCCGTGAATACACAACGGGGAGCAGGTCACCCACAAGAACCATCCCCAGCTCCTTGCCTGCAGACTGGGAAGCAGCAGGCTTTGGGGTCTTTAGTCTACAAGGGCTTCCCTAGGGTACTGCTGAAGTTTCTCACAAGGTGGAGGTTTCTTCCCAGCTCTACCCTTCCGTCTCACCTTACCCAATTTCCGTGCAGCCACCGAGTCCAGTCCTACCAAGAAGCCATACTTTTTACAAGTTTTATTCCTTCATTTAGGCAGGCAGTTTTGCTAGAACTGCATCCTCCGTATGAAATCTGATGGTTACGATAGAATTTGCTTCTGCTTTTGCTTGCAGTCCTTAACACATTGTCAGCACTCCCACTGAAGCAAGCGTGTTGAAAATAAGAGTTGCTTCTTCCAGTTCTGGCATTTGCACATTTTTATGAGATGCTGGAAAAGCACAATTGGATTTTTTTTTTTTTCCCCTACAAACATTGAGACAATAATAAGTAACAGATTCATTGAGTTTTGACTTGCCGTGGAACCAGGTGTTTCTGACATGTACCATGTCTCTCAAATATATTGCACACTCCAATACTCTTCTTACCAAAAGCTTAAGCTTTTTACATTCTCCTCTCCCCATCAACATGCAACAACACTTTCAGACTTTCCAGTTTCGTTTTTGCATAGCGTTCCCTTTTCAGTGACATGCAGAGAAAGCATCAGGGTGTGTGAACTTTGTGGGTAATCTGTCAGCTAGGTATAGTGACTGACATGCAAGGGAAGTGTCAAGGTACTATGAATACTGAAAATAAATGCTGAGCAGATTAAAGGAAACGGAGACCAAATAGCTTTCTTTTTTCACTCAACCAAGAGAGCAATCTAACAAACACCAGTCTGAAATTCTCACCCAGTGATCTCTAGTGGGCTAAAGCCTTACAGTTGAGTTGCAACTCAACTTTTGGAATCAATGAATGATGCAGGTGCAGGTGTAATGCTCCTCTAGTCCCTAGTTCAATTTTCAGGCTAGTTGCTGACTATGGGAACCTCTGCAGTTCCACCTTCTGTAAGTCTTGGTTTACAGCATGGTTGTGCCATTAGTGCCACATAGGTGGAACCAAGAAGGATTTCCACCATAAAGCCCTCCCCTAACACCAGAGCTCCTGGCTCCAGCAAAACAAAGTAGCATTCTAGGCTCAAGTCTGGAACAAGTTCTTACACCATCTGGATTAACTTTATTTCAGTATTACTACCTTAAACTGGCTCTAATCGTGAATACTTCATTGTTTCTAGGAAGTTTCAAAAGGGTATGACAGTTTAAAATTATTTGAACAATTATTACCTTAAAGCAAGCTCAAAGTCATTCACATGTTTGGAAGATCCTCCTAGTTCAAGAGCTGTTCCCTGTTCAACGTGGGACATGCCTGATGGGATCCTCTTGAGCCATAGATGGTGTGTAGCTTATCTAATGGAACAAAGGTATAGGAATACCCTTGGTTGTTCGTGGAGTGCATGCCGGCTGCTCATTTTATCCTGATGTTTTGTCATTATCAACAACTATAAAACAAGCTTATACAAAATAGAATTTTACGTCCAGTTGAATCCAAATTGGTATCTTATGAGAAATGTGTCAGACAGCCCATTGTGATGGCTCTTTGAGTAGAATGCTGCCAAAAAGTGAATGGGGAGGGAAAATTGAGATTCATTACATTTAAAATGGACTTTTGACCAGGAAGATCAATGACTGCATTTTTCTGTGCAGATTTACAGGCCAAATGAATCCCTGATTTAACCTCTGAACTCAGAGGGTTTCATAAAGAGAGGAATTTGTCTACAAGGGTCGTGCATGTGCATGCTTTCCAGGCACTACAAGATTGAAGTTGTAGCCATTTAAACGCGGAATAGAAAGAGGAAAACCCACAAGAGGTCAGATAGGGAAATAAGACTTAAGAATACTACTCCCTGACCACTGGACAGCGATTGATATGGTAGGCAGCAGTACACAGGAAAGGATGAAGTCCAGAAAAAACAGATGTCCCTGAAGAATTAGCACGACTGAAACGTGCGGTAGCTGTCTGCTCTCAGGTCACTGATGACCATGGGAACTTACATTCTGCGTTGCCCTCAACCGAAGACCCAGTCCCCAGGCAGCTGACGGGTCAGTAAATGGTTGACACTTTTTTTCACTCGGGTGAAAGGATTAGCACTACCTTCTCTTCACCTCAAGTATTTTTCAACATAAGCGCTTGCTGTAGCTGCTACAAAAAGATGAGGTGACCCACACCATCCCAAACAGCTGCACCAGCTGTGAGCAGAAGAATCACACAAAATACAAATTATAAACAAACTGGAACCCACTTCCAAATTTGAGAATTTGATAGAATTTCTACAGCACTCAGATATGCACTCATCATATATATCCAAAGGGTAAATATTTCCATCTCCAAGAGCTGTAAATGATTTAAAAGTGAAAAGCTAATACAAATGCCAAATGTAACACTAATAAATATTGAAAGCTGGCACTGATACCACATTCAGTGGGCAATGGACTCCAAACTGATTCTTCACCCGCAGTGCATATTGCCTTTCCTTCCTCCCAGCTGGCATTAGTAAAGTAGCAACAGCCTTAATATCAGATTTTGAGAAATTTGTTGCCAGACTTGTAGCAGCGTTTAAAACAAGATTGCATTTAACATAAAATTGAGCTATTTTCTGGCTGTTTGTAAAAATGAAACATGATCTAACATTAAATAAACTAGATGATGCAGGTTTTTGAGGCCAAAACCCCATTCTTACTAGATTTAAAAAAAAAAAAAATGCACTAACGATTACATCCCTTTGTTCATGCAAACTGGTTTCTGGGAATGCAGTGACCAAAGTTTTGCATCTGTTTGCATATAGAACTAGTAATTGTTGAACATGCAAGTCAGAGCTTACAATCACAGACGAATGTTTGTTTATTCTTTTGTAATTTGTATTACATTAATACAAGCTAGGTATCCAAACTGTTCACATGGTACTATAGAAACATAACAGATGCTCTGTTCCAAGGTTCTCAGTTTAAAATTGAGTCTACTGCTTAACAGTAGACTAGGAAAATCCCTTAAGGTACCAGTTGTTTTAAAAAAAATGAAAGCCATTTTTATGAATCACATTGACCTTTCTGAGCTATTTTCTTCTCCAGGGAAATTTCATTTCATTTAGAGGAAACATTACCATTCTGTTTGAAAGTAGCACAAGGATTTTTCTGAAGTGTCAGAATTTTCTTTGGAACAGAAAATCATCCTGATATTACCAAACAAACAGCAAGTCTTACTGACATAATCCAAAAAGCTACAGAAGTGAAAGAAGTGAAACATTCTTATCAATATAAATGGCCTTTAGATTGTAACTATTATTTATATCTTTTAATCTCTTACTGAAAGGTCTGGAAGCACCCTATGTTATCCATGCCGTCCATGAAACCTTACCATGAAGCCCCTCATCGCCCCCTCCCCAGCTTCCATCACCACCTAATTGTGCAAGTACATTGGAAATTTTTAAGGGTGTGATCCTCACACAAAAATACAATCTGGAATTTGTAGATCAAAAACCGATTTGAATAAAATGAATTTTTTTAAAAAAGCTCGATGTTGAAAGCAAAGAGCAGAGCTATAAACATAAACACTTTAAGCTAAATCTCTCAGCTGTGAGGTGATGTGCAGTCCCAAGAAATTATCTGAGAACTGTCGATGTTTGGTGGGCCACGGGACAAGAGACATGGGTTAGTAACTGTTTTAATGAATTTACTGGGCAAGAAGCCACTGTCATAGGAGGGAATACAGCACTCTGCTTTTGAATAGGAGGTGAGGGAGGGTATGCTTCCCCACCATCTAACATCTTTGTCAACCAGATGAAAAATTATGGATTTTAATTCCTTTTCCATCTTTTGTTTCTCACAGGCACATCATAGGCAAGTTTCCTGACTATCCTACTGAAGAGGCAGGAGGTTCAATGGCGATTTTTTCTCAAAAAACTCCAGAGCAGGTACTGTCACTCCTCTAATGCAAAAGGTTAATGGGATTGGGGAAGGAATCTCCACAAAACATGTCTGTTTATTTTAGTAATTTTTCATAACAATGGTCTCTAGCATGCCAGAAACCTTAAAGAGCTTTTTGCTGCAAGTGAAAGGATTGTTTTCTTCCAAGGTAAACCACAGAACTCACGTACCAAAGTTTATTCCCTTTCAGGATGCGCAGTCACTTAGTCATAGCGAAAGGTGCTCAGGCATGCAAGTTACACAGGTAAATGTCTGAGGGAGCTAAGAGGAGAGAGCTCAGCTACAAAGAACTGCCCTCCGGTTGCAAAATCCATGTAGTTAGACTGGTGCTAGCTACTAGTAGAAATATAAAACAGTTTAAAGAGCCTTGGTTAAAAACAGGCATCCAAAGCTACCCCAGAGGCTGAAATTGGTTCCAGTGTGTTTGCATTCAGTATCAGCACAGTCTAGCAATAATTAGTTTAGTTTAAGCAGAGAAGAGTTTCTTATGCAGGCAGGCCTAAGCCTTGATTTGCTGCCAAGGATCCATTAAGCGAGCTTGAACAACAGGCACATTCAAGTGAAGGAAGTATCTTAGTTTATCTTATGTATTCTTGTAGCGAACTCGGACTTTTTTCCTGGAAAAATTCCTCTTCTGACTTCTCTGGCTAATAATCTCTTCTCTGGTCTGGCTGACACAGAGAAAGCGATTAAGGCCAGTTGAAGCAGTGAAGGCAGTGGTTGGCACTCGGAACCAGATCCCCCCTCCACAACGATCTTAGCAGGATGATGGGTCTGCTGAGGGCAATTACAAAGAGGAAGCCCTGCACGCAGGAGGAGGATCTGGCCCCGGAGTGAACCAGGCGTGGTGGCTACTAGTGGGCTAGGAAAACTAAACTGTCAAAAACTGACCTCTGTGGTCCTTAAAGCTCCCCTGTTGAGACAGACTGTTGTGTTTATTAGCTGCCTGCAATTGATGATCTAACGCAGGTATGGTGAAACAGCATTTTGGATTCAGTCCTTCCTGGAATCATAGGGAAAAGCCTGGGGCATGCTAGCAGCATCTACGCAATTTGAGGGGATGTAAATACAGACTAGCCCAGCATAAAACACAATACTTAGTTACTGTGCTTACAAAAATATGCAAGAAAACAGCTACAAACAGCTCTCCGTGCCTCACTAAAGCTGAGCTCAGGGCGTACTCCTGGTTTTAGCCAAGTTCAGAGCACGCTAAGGTCAATCCCACCGGCCTCTGTATGTAAGGCACTCTGTTGTTCAGTCCCAGACAAAGTGACGGAGACCCGTCGGTTAAGTTTTCAGCTTCTAAAGTAGAAACACATGCCAGAGTCAAGAAAGCTTTGTTGGCTGCTCTGAGCAGCCGGGGAGCCACCCAGCAAGTATGGCTTACTGCTGGAGAAGGCTTCAGGGGACTTTATGCTAATTAGACCTGCTACCAACGAGGATAAACGCAATTCAGAAAGAAAGCGTTACAAGAAATTATACTGAACAAAACTGGATATGGTAGTAGATTCTGGAGAAACATATTCTTCCTGTCCTACTCCCAGCTTTGAACTCCCACCTTCAGCTCTTTTGCTGTCTTTCCTGGGCATCTGCTTTCTCTTTGCATTAAAAAAAAAAAAAGGAAGCCAAAAGTCTAGAGAGATTGTTTTATTACCTGTTTTTCCCTGCATAAAAGAAAAATACCCGGAAGAAAGAAATGCAACTATTTTCCCAGCAAATTTTCACTAGCAATTATCTGATTTTCAAAGATTTTTGGGCCCATTTTTTTCTCAGTTTTTAGCCAGCACAACCAAGAGCAGAATGTATATCACATAACCTTAACAGATATCCAGAATACAGCTGGCAAAAGAAAGTTCAGTACACTCATGATTTTACCTGAATGTCAGACAAGTAAAACATTTTTTGTTCAACTGAGTCAGCTGCATATTAAAAATCCCTAAGGCAACTGGTTTTGTTCCACACTGGTCTACTGGGCAACATAGTAAATGAAATCCTGGCCCCATTGAAGTTAATGGGAGTTTTGTCCTTGACTTCACAGGGGGACAAGATTTCACCTCTTGTATATATTAGCTTCTGTGAATGGGTTGGTTACTCCCAAGTTAAACTCCATGAAAAATCAGGACTGAACTGTATTTAAAAAGCAAGCATTTTATAAGACTTAGGTAAAGACACTTTGGGGAAAATAAAATACAAATTAATCACTTCACGAACCATTGCTGCATTATTATACATTCTATATTTCTTTATCCTTTGACAACTCTGACCTTACTTGACTTTGTAATGTAGCTGGCCTTCTGCACACACTGCTTTCATGACATTTTACAAATACCTTTCAAAAAGATACACCAAAGAGATCCCGATGCAAAGTACTTGGTGGTTTAGTCAGAAAAATATGTACTGTCTCTTGACTGAAAAGAAGCTTGCCTCTATTTTACATACTCTTCAAGAGAAATTTAAGATTCTGAGACATCAGTGTAATCTCCCTGCATCTGTTCCAGATGTCTATCCCTAATGGTTTTTTATGTTTTGCTCCAAAGATAATCATCAGATGCAACAATTTTTAGCTTTGCCCTTATACTGCTGCCAACAAAATTATGATCTCTTCCTGTAGTTCATTAAGTCTCATCACCATGAAAATAAGCTAAGAGAGTTGCCATTTAGCAGACACGTTCCCCCTCTCCCAACTCCCCCTTGTTTTCAATATTAAATAACTTATCAGAAAAAAAAAGAAAGATACTTACCAAGATTTTGGTTGTACGCTCAATTGCTGCATGGAGGACAAAGTCATTTCCACATTACTGTAATCACAGTATCTGATCCAGCAGCATCTAGAGAAGGGGTGAGAAAAAGTATGTGTTAGCTGCTGTGCAAACATATGCTCCTGATCCTCGCTTGGCACTCTGTGCAGTACTATGCTGCTAATTAGTATTCATTATCACCAACAGCTAAAGATCCCCATGAATCCCAGTAATCAGTTTGATTGTGAATGGAAGTGCAAGAGATCCCCAGTAGTTAGTTAATATTTAATTAATATCTCTGACTATTTCCCAGGTAGGGACAGTAAAATGCAATCAAGTACTGCAATATTCACACACACACCCATGTGTAATACCTTATTCACTTTTACCAAATGTATAGATCATGAATAGCTTTAAAGCATCAGAGAAGGATTCAGAGGCTGTGTAGAGTTGTACTTTCTAGTATCCAGCATTTTGCAAATATGCTTTTATCTTGACAGCAAATACACCAACTGTATTTTTCAGTAATAGAAGTAGATGCCTACAGTTACGCTCACTTTTATTTCCTCTTTCCACGCTATTCTGGATGTTCCTTTTAGAAATTATCAGGCTGAATTTTCACAAGTCCTAAACACACAGTGCCATCAGCTGGAGCTGGGCACCTCAAAGCCTTAAAATATTCTGATTATTTCAAGTTAACCACGCAGGAGGATGGAAATGGTACTCAGTCTCTGTTAAGCTACACAACGGGCAGATGTATTCACCTCCAGACAACAGTTCACTGCAATGAAGCCATTCAGCGGGTAGATTCCTAGCCCAGTGGCTCTCCACTGCGCATGAACAGGATCTCTGTTGGCTGAAGATAGTAGTCTACGTTGTACGCCTAAAAAGCCAGGCAGTATCAACCACCTCTTTTCACCTCTACCACCAAAGCTAACAGATTTTTCATAAACACATTCAGTGGAGACCAACGTCTTGAAGCGTTTGCCAGAAAACGAACACAGGAGTGAGTGAGTTTAACCGGTGAGTTAAACTACATTTGGGCAACATCTGCCGGATGGAAAAAGACTAGAGAGCATATATCAATCGTGGACTGAAATGCATGACGATTATTAAAGCCAACTGTAAGATTTTGCAAGATCCCATAAAGCTATGAAATCCCACCCAACGTTTTGAATTCATTACACTGGGGTTGTTTTTAACAGCTTAAGCTTTGCTTGCAGGTACACACCCAAAAGTAAACGCTCAGAAATGCCTTGCCAGGAGAACGCTACGTTATTAAAAGCTACGCAAATGGATTTGCCTGTGAGAGGGAATGAATCCAGAACGCTGGCCCTCAGCTACCTCGATGGGACAGAGTCCCAGGCCCACCATGATGAAAATAACATCTCCTCCAACTGACAAAAAATAATACCACCTTACAGAAATAATCAGCCTATAGAAAGAGTTGTAATTAAACATCCTCGAGATAGGGGGGCAGGATGGGGGAAGCACGTTTTACAGCATACTGCATGTTACGAACAAGCGATGCAAATGGGCAGTCCGATGTTTGGCACGCTGCTCTGGGACGTGGCCATGGCATCTCTTCCCATCTCAAACAGGCCTGTTTTCTTGAAGAAGCTTTTTTTTTTGTCTTAGATTTCAAAACAGCTTCTTCCTGTAGAGTTAATACTCAAAGAGACCACATTTTCTCTCTGGGAACACCAGGCTACATGCGTATAAAGTTTCTGTTCAAAATGGTTTTAGAGCCAGAGCTACAAGGCTCTGAGGCTGTCTCTCACCCACCACAGCTGGAGATCCAGAATTCCCAAACGCACTCTATCCCTGCATTTCATTTATGCCCACAACACTAATAAAGGCAGGAAGTTCAAGTAAGGTCTTCTTTCGAGGGATGAGGGAAGGGCTTATTCTTGAAGAAGAACATTTACCTCAAGTATCAGCTTGCCTGAGCCAACACCAAGCTTTCTATGGCTGAGAAACATAGAACATGAGTGAGTCCTACTAGCAGCTGGGGGTTTTCACATACTTGGCTCATAAACCAGTATCAGGCATTTCCATTCATAGGCCGCACTCTGTTTTTGTGCCCCTCTCCTTCCCAAAAAAGGGGATTTGCACTGCAGGAGCTTGGAAACACACTTGAACTGATGAATAGAAAAGTCAATGTGACTTTTGTGGGATATCAGTTTAGAGGAAAATGTCTTTTCAGCCAAAGAAGAAAATGTTAATGGAGAAGAGTCATCACTAGCACG